TACTATTTAAACTCAAAATTTGAATTAAGCTCATTCTTATCCGAACTAGACAGCTCAATATAAGGCCCAGACATAGATAGGTACCCAATATAACCATTGACCACATTTCTGGAATGATGGTCTTACTCACTGTTGAATGAGAGATGGTCTTCAGGAGATGTGATGCTTGGACCCTGTGTGGATCTGTAGGCCTTATAGTAACTCCTTGCTGTGACGGGAATGGAAAAAAGCCCCTTATCTGGAATTACCCCTTTGATTACAGGAATCAGCTCTAACACAATGTACTTCTGGTGAAGAATTCCCACAGATCAGTGTAGTATACTTCTAGTTACCATCAAGATGCACTATTTGAATGTGATGTCACTAATATCACACTAAGGTATCAGGAGATTCAGATTTAGGATACAGATCATTATTGACAACTTTTATGAGACAGAATAATAATAATAATCCTTTCATTTGATATAGCGCTTTTCATGTCTTCTAGACGTCCGAAAGCGCTTCACAGAATATACTGTAAAGTGAATTTACTGTATATTTGTGGGCGAACGCGGCAGCCAATTGCGCACAGCAATGTCCCACAAACAGTCAAGGATTGAAAATGACCAATTTATTATTGTTTTGTTTTTTTGGAGGGATTATTATAAAGATTTAACATCAAAGTCAAAAAGTAACACAGCTTTTCGACTCTCTGTAAATGTTACACCAGACCCTGTGTACTTTATTACCAAAATCCTCAGATCCTATAACCATGACTTGGCATCACAAATGACAGTATGGGAAAAGGAAGTGAAACACACCTGTAATCTTTAAAACATGTAGCAGCTCCTTTAAAACCATCTGCTCACTGACTTATTTGTAGTTTCATGTGTTGCTAGTTGAAGAGGAGGACAGTTAATGTCCCTAGGGAGGCTGGCTGGTGGTAAAGTTGTCGTCTGCCTCTTTATGGTTTCTCTCGTGTGATGAAAGATCCTTAGTCAAATGCTGAAAGTACAGCAAACAATGTTCAAACCACATCTTGATATCTTGGTGGAATGTGTTGTGAAATATAAATAACACACTGAGGGCATAGCCATAACTGGTTCAATCTGATGGATTGTCAACTGTGCAACTCATTCTGAGCTTTGCTTTTATACGTATATTCACGAACAAGATGTGTTCAATGTCCTGTATAAATGTTGGATAGAAAAAATGTTTCTTACCAGGTGCACTGCTGAGTCCCACCTGGTCCCATCTACTCCCTCTGGATGCTCCAGCTGCAAAGCTCAGCTGTCTTCTGTTCAGCACAAGTTTGGGCCAGAAAGCCTGGGATTCCTCCACCTGTGACTTTTCGAGTCCTTCTGCTGTTGGACAACTGCTCTTCTTCAGAAAATGCTTCATATCATTAGGTGTTAGTCTTCAAACTTTCCCCACCAAATTGGCACCAGCCTCAGTGATACAGCTGGCATTTGAAAGTTGGGGCAACTACATTTTCCTTCCTTAACATAATTTCCTTTTAATCCAGCGTTAGAGGTCAGAAATAGGAAAGGAGTGGTTGCACTGATAGGGGTTTACTATAGACCACCAGATAGCAGGAAGGAGATAGAAGAGCAGATCTGCACCAGATCACGGACAGATGTAGGGTGAACAGAGTTGTCATAATGGGGGATTTCAATTATCCCAATATAGATTGGCAAAATAGCAGCGTTAAGGGCAAGGCAGGAGAAAGATTCATCAACTGTGTACAGGAAAATTTTCTTGAGCAGTATGTCTCCAGTCCTACAAGGAAGGAAGCATTGCTGGATCTTGTCCTAGGGAATGAAATAGGTCAGGTTGAACAAGTTTCGGTAGGGGAGCATTTAGGTAACAGTGACCATAATATTACTAGATTTAGATTACTCATGAACAAGGACAAAGTACAGTCAAGGGTGAAAATGCTTGACTGGAAAAGAGCTAATTTTGATGGGCTAAAGAGGGACCTAGAGTTGGTGGACTGGCAAGTAAGAATGGCAGGTAAAACGACTCATAAGCAATGGGAAATCTTCAAAGATACGATAGCTCAGGGTCTAAATAGATATATTCCCACAAAAGGGAAATGTGCGAGAACCAAGCCTGCTTGGATGACCAGGGATATTCTGTCTAGGATGAAAAAGAAGAAGATGGCGTACGACAATTGGCGGATGCAAGACACTGAGGATAGCAAAGCGCATTATAGAGATCTCAAAAGAGCGATAAAACAGGCTAAAAGATCGCATGAGAAGAGGTTAGTGGGTAACATAAAGGGGAATCCTAAAATATTTTATGAGCACATAAAGGAAAAAATGTTAGTTAAAGGTAGGGTGGGGCCAATCAAAGACAATTACGGCAATCTTGTTGTGGAGGCAATGTAGTCCTGATGTACTAAACGAGTACTTTGCATCTGTCTTCACAACGGAAACGGATGCCCCAAATGCCACAGTATTGGATGACAGGGTAGAGGATATAGATCAGATTACTATAGACAGAGAGGAAGTTCTGAAAAGATTGACTGGGCTCAAAATTGATAAGTCACCAGGACCAGATGGGTTTCACCCAAGGTTGCTGTGGGAGATACGGGTTCAAATAGCGGAGGCTTTGGCCATTATATTTCAATCGTCATTGGACACAGGAGTGGTGCCAAGAGACTGGAGAGTAGCTAATGTTACCCCACTCTACAAAAAGGGGCAGAAAGACAAGCCCGGAAATTACAGGCCAGTCAGCCTAACTTCGGTAATAGGAAAGCTACTGGAGACCGTAATCCGGGACAAAATAAATCTCTACTTAGAGGAACACGAGGTAATTAGAGACAGCCAACATGGATTTGTTAAAGGCAAATCTTGCCTAACAAATCTAATAGAATTTTTTGAAGAGGTGACTGCGAGGGTTGATGAGGGAAATGCGGTGGACATTATTTACATGGATTTTAAAAAGGCTTTTGACACAGTACCGCATAAGAGGTTAATAAAAAAACTGGAAGCCCACGGTATTAAGGGGACAGTAGCTGTTTGGATTAAGAACTGGCTGAGTGACAGAATGCAGAGAGTGGTGGTTAATGGGTGTTTCTCGCAATGGAAGGAGGTGTGCAGTGGTGTCCCCCAGGGATTGGTATTGGGACCACTGCTCTTTCTAATATATATTAATGATCTGGACTTGGGCAAGTTTGCAGATGATACCAAGTTAGGTAGGGTAGTAAATAGTGAAGAAGATTGTGACGGACTGCAGGCAGACATACACAGAATGGTGGAATGGGCTGACATGTGGCAGATGGATTTCAATGTAGATAAGTGCGAGGTGATACACTTAGGTAGGAAAAATGATAGGAGGCAATATAGGCTTGGTAGCTCAATCTTAAGGGGAGTGAACGTACAGAGAGATCTGGGCGTTCAAGTAAGCGATTCATTGAAGGTGGCAGAGCAGGTAGTTAGGGCAGTAAAAAGGGCATTTGACGTACTGAGCTTCATTAGTAGGGGCATAGAGTATAAGAGTAGGGAGGTTATGCTTAATCTGTACAAAACACTGGCTAGGCCTCAGCTGGAGAACTGCGTCCAGTTCTGGGCACCTTACCTCAGGAAGGATATTAAGGCACTGGAAAGGGTGCAGAGGAGATTCACGAGAATGATACCAGGAATGGGGAAGCTTAGCTATGAGAACAGGCTAGAAAAGTTAGGACTTTTCCCATTAGAGCAGAGAAGGTTACTCAGGGACCTGATAGAGGTCTTCAAGATCATAAAAGGTTTCGACAGGCTAGATAGGGAAAAGCTGTTTCCGCTGGCAGGTGTGTCTGTGACTCATGGTTACAGTCTTAAGATATCTACTAAAAGAAGCAGAGGGGAGGTTAGAAGAAATTTTTTCACTCAGCGAGTTGTTAGAATTTGGAATGATCTGCCTGAAAAGGCAGTGAAGTCCGATTCGATAACAGCTTTTAAGAGAGAACTGGATAAGTATCTGGAGAAGACAGGTTTGCAGGGTTTTAATAATAATACGTTTTGGGGAGAAAGCTGGTGAGTGGGGTTAATAAAAGTCAGTTGCTCTGTCAAAGAGCCGGCACAGACTCTTGGGCCGAATGGCCTCCTTCTGTGCCGTAACATTCTATGATTCTATGATTCTATGATAAGATTTTTAATCTATCTGTCTCTGTTTCCTGTTGCTTTTGTGACTTCCTTCTATTGATGGCAAATATGCAGACAATATAAGAAACACTTGCAACATCCACACATAGATATATATATATTACAATGCGTGCACACCACAATTCTGCATAGTCTGATAAGTTCATCAATATTATTGTACAGAGGGGAGAAGTTCTATTTTCCCACTGCTACATTACTGTTAGGTTAATGTTTGAGTACAAATATTCACTATAGGAAGAAGCACAAATTGATCTTCGTTCTATAATTGTTAATGAGCAACTGAAAATAATGATTGGCACCATGGTGCAAATGTTGCATCCTATAATAACTCTGTGATATTGTATTGTGAATCACCGGATGAATTTGTAAATTGAAATTTATAGACTTCTGACATGCTTTTGCAACCATAATTTTTTCACATAATGAGAATGTGTGTGTGAGTGAATGTGTGTGTGGTGGGGTGTCTAATAATTCATTTTCAATTACCTTAAGAATGTATAAAATACACAGAAAAAAGGCAGTTGCCATTACAACCTTCTGCCACATCACTACTATATGGATTGTAGGGATGATAACTGCAACATTTCATAATAAATTGAATGTTAATTTTTTCCAGGGGAGAAGGGGAGGGAGATCTTCTGGGGGTGGGATTTTGAAGACATGAACAGCAAGAGATTCTTATGCAAAGCATGGGGGAATATAGAGGGGTTAGCAGAGGAAGGTCTTTTTATGTCCTCTAGTTGATTGTTCAACGTTCAGGTGATTGTTTCTAATAAGCAAGTATAAGTTTGGGGTACTATTATTGTTTCATCTACAGTTTGTGGGTTAGATGGTTAGAGGGGGTGGGGGCCTTCATTCTGGAATTTATCTTGTAAAACTATGGAACTCTTCACAAATTTGTGTGTTATTCTTGTGCAGGTTCCATGCTAATCTTCTCTGTACAGTTCCAGTCTTATTATATGCGTTGCTGAAGCGAGCACAGAATTTCTTTTTGAATGAGGACACAAATTTTATTTTCACACATATTTCAATGCTAAATTTATAGCAACTCGACCTTTTTACGAAAGATAAAAGTTGGATTTTTTCATGTAGAAGATGAATAATGTCGCTAGTTTCTTATGGATTATTAATTCTGAAGATGCTGGTCTATGGCTGGAGCACTGTCAAGAGAGTTAATTGATATTTTCACACTTGCATTACACAACTTTTACCTCAGGTATGAAATATTAACTGAGGAACTTTCAAACTATCATTTAATAATAATCCTTGCATTTGGCATAGCGCCTTATCATGTCATTGAGACATCTCAAAGCGCTTCACAGAATATTTTGTAAAGTGCATTGATTGTGTATTTGTTGGTGAAATGCTACAAGCACTTGCAATTTCTCACATACAGTTGTGGATTGCATGGCCAAAGCTTTTATTGGGATTACAGTATTACCCCTGTAAGGCGATCCACCAATCAACTAACAACTGGATTCTTACATCCTGTTAGCTGAACATAGTTGTGTGGAGTAAGGAAACATGCCTAAGGTTTTGCCCTGCCCAGGAATCAAACCTGGGTCCTCTCGCTTGGGGATGAGCGTGCTAAGGGACACCATTTACCTTCATAGCACAACAATGTCGAAATCATGATGAAGCTCACAAAATATGCTTTAGTATTTTGCAGCTCTACCTTTGGCAATTAAGATTTGAAGCAAGAGGAATAATTGTTACAATGGTGTATTAATAATAAATAAAATCTATCAAATAAAAAGCCATTTAAAAGCATTGTTAAGAAAAACTTGGAGGCTTCTGTATAGTAATTAAGGCTGCATGAACTGACTTGGTGAGATGAACAATTGACATGATGAATTTTAGATGAGGAAAAGGCATTCAAGCAAAGCTTTCTGCAATATTTTCATCATGACTCTCTGTTAATAAATCCTTTTATTGAACACCTCAAAACACCTGCAGGTTTATGATAAGGATAATAACAATTTAGGAAAGGTTATGGCTTATGAGTGACAAGATATATATCAAAAAATAATGTCTGTTTTGGAAGGGAGACAAATCAGTAGAGGCTTTTGTTTTCTTTATCTGTTTGGTGACAGTATTAATCCACTCTTTAGTTTTTCCAAAATTATTTTGTTCCTCCTTTTCGTCTATCCTTATTGATCTCTGGATCATGCAAGAATCTCTAAGGAGAGAGCAGAGGACCTCACTATCTAACTTCTGCCCATTATGTTCCCTAAACAAACTCAAATGTTGCACAAGAGTAGCCCTGTCATAGCTCTCCTGCTGATTGCGATTCTCTCCCTTGTGAGAATGTCCATGTTCATTGCTCAGTGCCTCACCCAGCAAAATAGTTGAGATCATTAGCTTAGCAATGTAGTGGATGCAAGTGTCTCTTGTCGTTTCCACTGCATGTTTTATTTTGCTCTATAGTATTTGCAAAGTAGAAGTTGCTGCAATAATAGCGAGTTTCAGTTTATAAGTTAAATGATAGACATCTTTACAAAAATTGCTACAAAAGAAAGAAAAACATCTAATTCCCAAAGGCAGTTTGTGGCCCTTATTTAGCTTTCTGACCTTTTCTCAGACTTTTGGACATTTTTTGACACTGAAATACCGCTAAAGGAAAATCTTGGCTGCCATTACAACTGGAGGTTACATTTTCAACTCCATTCTTAGAGCAACTCATGCAACTTTCCTTTTTTTAAAATTCAAGAAGTCAAAAGTATCTTATGATTCTTCAAAATAGAGACAACCTGAAAGTCAGAGGACCATGAGTTCAAATCCTGACAAGATCCAAATCATTTCTTCAATTGACCTTAATACATTTGGGTTAGGGAGAGGAAAATCAATCAAGATTGTTAGGCAAACACTTCTGTTCTGTAAATATTGTACTATAATGGGAAAATGGTAGGGTTGGTTTTCTGGAAGGATAAGATTGAATACGCTGAAGGCCCTCTTTATCCAAACTTATCCTGTGATTTTGTGACACATTTGTGTGTGGATATTGTGTGATAACACGATCAAGTTTAGCTCTGAAGCCTCCTGCCATGAAAAGCCTTTAATAACTCACTGTCAAGGTCAATTGTGAATGATGGCTGTAGGAGTGTCTGGCATGTGTACAATTTTACCTCATGTGAAGGAAAATAGTTCAAATTCTTTAGGAGGCAAGAAAAATATTGACAGAAAAAATGCAATTAGTAAGGAGGTGGTTATTTATTAATAGTGATAAATCTTGTGTTTGGTACAGTGCCTTTCATGTTGGGAGGACATCTCAAAGTGCTTCATAGGATTTATAGTGTGTTTGTAGGCTAACACAGCAGCCCAATTGCACACAGCAATGTCCCATAAACAGCTATGAAACAAATGATGCTTTTTTTTCATGGGAATTATTGGCCAGGACACTGGGAGAAACTATCTTTTTTTTTTGAGTAGTGCCATGAGATCTATTCTGAATTCAGTCTACCTGCAAGACAGATGGGCCCTCAGCTTAACATCTGATCTGTAGGCCTGCACTTCCAACAATGTAATTTAAGCAGCAATGAATAAACGTGAATTTTCAAACAAACAGTTTGTAACTAAAATTAAGAAGTTTGTTCTTCATTACATCAACGCAACACGTTTGCCTACAAAATATACAGTCACTGCACTTTACAGTACATTCTGTACAGTATATTTGAGATGTCCTCACAAATATACAGTTAATTCGCTTTACAGTATATTCTGTGAAGCGCTTTGAAGACGTGAAAAGCGCTATATCAAATGCAAGGATTACTATTATTATTATGTGAAAGACACTATAAGGATTATTATTATTATATTAATACATGCTCATTATTGTTATGCAATAAGAGAATACAGATTTCTATGTTTTTATTCCAGGTGGCAAATTGCAGTGCTACTTATATAACATTCTCGTGCTGTATTTGAGAAAATACAAATAGTATCACAGCACCGTTAAGATAAAGTATTTTAAATCAAGTTTAATTTGCATTCAATCAAATTTCTGTTCTGAGGCATCTTTCTGATTTTTCAATGTGTGACATGTATTAGTGGAAGAGTGCTACATGAGCATCTCAGCAGTTGAGAAACTTCCTTTTTGTTTCATCTGAGCTATATCATTGTTGAGAGTCAGTAACTTGAAGTGGTAGGTTTCTTAATTATTTTGGTAATTGATTTTTTTTATCATAAACTGTGATGGTAACAAATTTAACAACAGTTATACGCAACATTGATATAACTGACATTATCCATTGCTGCTTCCAGCTCCACAGAAGCACACAGATGTTTAGAAATATTTTTGATGCTCCCAACAGTATGAAAATGTTCTTTTTTATATTAAAAATGGAATTGCATTAATGACCTTATGATCCTCCAATAGATTAATCCACTTCACTGGGGTTTCATTTTTCAGTCAAGCTGTCTGTCCTCAATTACAATCTATTATACAGTGAAAGTGACCCATGATTTAGCAACACATCATAGCAACGATGTGCATCCAGCCACATTGCTAGCCTGTGATGGTACTACTCTGACTCCATAGAAGGAACAATTCACAATGCAAATAACGCTGATAGAAACATATATTTTATTTCACAAAAGGAATGAGATTTTTCAGTAGTTTCATTCAAGTCTAATTTCTGAAATTTGCAAAAAGGCTAAATGCTTTTTCCAAAGCAGCCCCACGTAGGAGTAAATATTGCAGAATGAATCAGCTAGATAGCTTTTTGATCTTCATCCATTTTTCTCATTTTCATGGGAAGAGGAAATTGAAATGAACCCTTTTGTGAATATCTCAAATTAGATATTGGATCACTTCGAAGTGCTCTGGCAAGCTACCCCGTGTGAAGGGCGCTATATAAATGCAAGTTGTTGTTGTTGTAGATTGGATAATGGATATTGCAATTAATGCTGCCCATCTTTTATCTAAATATTATAAAATGAACCTATTGTACTAGTAACGATGATGTCTGATAGGATAGAAGTGCTCCGGGATACTACCCTGTGTGAAAGGTGCTTTATAAATGCAAGTTGTTGTTGTATACATTTATGGAACCCAAGCAAACACACTTGAGATGTTATCACGTGGTGTATCTCACTTATTGTGATACATAAATAAATCAGCTACAAATTATACATTATACATTCACTACCCTTTAGAGAATATTCTGTGGAGAGTTTTGAGATGTCCTCTTGACGTGAAAGTTGTTATATTAAATGCAAGGAGTATCATTATTATAAATGTGGTAGAAATGTGTTTAGCTGTTATTAAAACTATCTGTGTCCATCATTGGTTAATTAAACAGCATAAATTCCCACTGTAGTCTGTGAGATCCGGTGAAGGGTGTGTTGGTACATTACACGTAAAAGTGTTAGTACCACCTAGTGAGTGCTCTAAATTTAACAGCTGCTTGAAATAAGAGGGTGGAATTTTGCTTGTTAAATTATAGCAAAATCCCGAATCTTGCACATATTTACTTCCCATTGAAATGATATAAAAATAAATTCAATATGACCTGTCAAGTGCTGAAACATTGGTTGGTACTCAAGCGAGAAAGTGGGGACTTTACTACAAAAATCATGGTTTAGCTGTGAGGAAAACTAAGGTGTTCTTATTTTTAGCACAACCTTCGTTCTGCTAAACTCTTGGTAAATGAACTCCATGAAGTTACTTGTTGCCACCTGATTCTTGGTAGCCAAACATAGAATGCAGGCAGCAGGGAGTGGAAATGTCTGTGCAATGATGATTATTATTAAGCAATCATTGTGATGCATCACTACCATCTGTAATAAAAACGATCCATGCTCTGCACAGATACCAACATCATCAGCTTATCCTAAGCAATATTTGGCATTTACCATCTATTCCACTGAGATTTTCTCTTGTCTGTCCAGCTGTCAGGTTTTTATTTCCTTTGGCTTCCACCCTGTCTGCCCAATGTGAATCTCAAACACCAACCCACCCATCCTTACTGGCCTCAGGGAC